GTGGAGTGTGTCCATGCTGTGAGCGTCCTCAGATGCTGAACTGGCAGAAAGAAGGAGCCCAGTGATAACGCAGAGATGGTGAAGAGTTCCACTCCAGGCCAAAGAGGCCTTCAACAGAGTCGCTCGGTGATTCAGAACTCCATCTCTCCTGGCGGCTCTCTGCAAACACACTTCTGCTGGTGAGGGTCTCTGTGTGTGTGAGTGTGTGTGTTGGTGTGTATGAGCTGCCTGCTGTGAAGTGGCCAGGTCGTGACATGACATCACCCAATCTGTTGGTGTGAAAAGTGATCCCAAGAGCAGCATGGATAAAAGTTAAGATAGCACCCGATTAGCACCAGGGTTGTCCATCACTGTTCATGTGTGTGACGCACACACATCTGCACACCTCCAGGTGTTTGGTTGTGTAAAATGGGTCTGGATCTGGCCAGGTTCCTGAGATGGTAGCACCAGTAAATGTGTCGGTTCTCCTCGTTTTCCAAGCGAGACGAGGGCGTTTGTCTTGAGAAGTTGGACTCAGCAGCTCCTTTACGTTCTCTCACTCCGCGCGCGTGTGTGTGTGTGTGTCGTCGTGGTCCAGGGCTGTTCAGGATCTACCTGAAAGGTGTGTCGTCTCCATCTCACAGGAATGTATCACAATGCTGGCTTCTCTCCTCCATCTCCTGTGACACACACACACAAACACACACACAGATCAGCACACGCTGCTTAATCCCAGCCAACACAGCACAACTGGATGTGTGTACAAAGCATCTGCGCGCCACGGCTTCAATATTACTCGGAAATTTCCCACAGCAAACAACGGCTTTCACCGTGATAAATGATGTAAAGTGAAGCTGCGGTAAGACGGGCGATACTTTCTCAGCATGAAAACAGCAGAGTTTGACACTGACTACATCTGAACTGAGCCGGAGGAGGAGAGATGGATGTTAGGCTGCAGCAGAGCGTGATTAATGCCTTGAAGATGTTCTGCTGCGTGTGTTCTCATCTGAATGCTTGATCGCTGCGACAGGGGCCCTTACCAGATATCAATTTCAGCAAAAGTTTGAAAAAATAATAAATAACTATCAACTTTAGAGCAAAAACCAATCGTACACTTGTAAAGATGGAAACTTTTCCACAGAGCAACACTTCTTTATGACAAACGTGCGTTACGCACAGCTTCCAGGAAGCATCGGAACGACGGGACTATTCGACAGGATTATCAACAGGAGCCTCGGCAGACGCTTCTTTAAGGTCGTCTTTTTTTTAGGTTGCTGTTTAAACGTCTGGAGAATGTGAGCAGTAAATCAAGACTCTCTGCACGTGAAACAGAAAACGAAAATATAAAACTGAAGAAGTTTTAGGTGCGAATTTCAAATGTGAACGTTTGTTCTCTTGATGTTTGCACTGATACGTGTTGGTCTGGAGATGAAGGGAACTCAAACCAACGTTCCCATTACTCGTTGGTTCTAAGATCAAGCTGCATCTTGCTTTGCAATGGGGACTTTATTTTTTGTCTCAAATGTTCAGACTCCCATCCCACTGGATGATGACCCTATTACTGAGGATGAACATTTTAAGCAAAAACCAATGTCAGTGATACTTTGAGCTTCAAAACATTATCCCTGCAGCCTCTAGCTATTTTTTAATAGTTGTTTTTACGCTGAAAGTGGAAAAAATGGGTACAAAGCTTTTCTAGCTCTGTTCTAACCTAACAAACATTCTTCATCATCAGGTTGGTTTAATTCTGTTTGGAGGTTCTCGTTGTTTGAGGAGGATGCTGCACTACTCAGTATTCTGTCTGATGAGATGAACAGGTTCCAAAACCCACAAAGTCTGTTGGGGGGAAATAAAGTAATAAAATCAATTAATACAAACAAGTACAAAGCCAGCAGAATGGCACAAAATAAATATATTTCACTGAGGACTCTGGTACTACCTGGACCACTGTGTTGCAATGGTAATGGTCATCAGCCATTATTAAATATACATGTCTGGCTGCATTCTTACTGGAAATGGCTAGTTCTATATTTGCACACTTTTCACTGTTACAGCTGTGCTTTTAGTTGCTGCTGCTGTAATTGTGCATAAATTGTGCACGGACAACAACCCATTTACTAGGCAGGTTTTAGGACAACAGTGCAGGAACAGCAGCCAGAAAATGAAAATGTGAAGAAGGTTTTAGCTTGAAGCTACAAGGCTTCAAGGCTGGCGCTTAAACCCCAAATCAAGGAGACTGGTTCTGGATCCTGTGTGTCGAGATGAGCCCAACTATATCTAGTCGGCACCTCTCAACCTCACACAGAAGCTCAGGCTCCTTCACAGCCAGACAGGGAGGGAAGTAAGTGCTATACGTTGTCATCATTGTATGTTCCCATACAATGACAAAATTAGTTCTCTGCATTGAACCCATCATCGCACCTGGGAAACACTCAGGTGAAGCAGTGGGCAGCTATGCAAGTACCCGGGGAGCAACTGGGGATTAGGTGTCTTGTTCAGAAACAGCACGACATGAGACAGGTTACATTCCATGTCCTAAAAGCCAGTTTTGTTAAGCCAGAATCAGAGTGTCAAGGACCCCGCCTTCAGCCACTGCCCTTGGCATCCTTAAGTCAAGATGCTTTTATTATTTAGAAATTTGGAATAAATTTAGATTTTTGTACTAAGAAGACCATTAACATGCATAAAAGAAAAACCAGTATCAATACACTCACCACTCTCACTTAACCTCCATTTATAACACACGCTTCAAATGCCTCAAGAGCACCCATCTTGTTTGAACCCTTTTAATCTACTCCCACCCAAGTTACTGAAATTTCTTTGCCAAACTAGTTTGTAAAGCTTGTGTGTCAGATAAACAAGAAAATGCCAACTGAGTGCAACGTTTCTGGACAAAAAGAGAATGATGCATCGGTTTTCTCCAGCAAAAGCTGAGAATTGGGTAACTTCAGCGAAGTTCTGCTCAATTAACGAGTATGTTCAACTTGGGCACTGCACAGATTAAGGTTAAAGGTCCAAGGCTTGAATAAAGTCTTTAATTGCTTCCTAAGACATAGTAAGAATATAAGGCCATACCCGGAGCAATACAAACAGCAATTTGTAGAGAAAAGCGGAGTTGGGACGTTGCAGTGCACAGGGCAAATACAGTCCCTGTGGTTTTAACTGCAAGCGGGTTGCAGTTCACTTCATCTGCTGAAAGGTCAACTCCTCTGAAGACAGAGAGACCAGACCTAGAGGAGGATGAGGGGAAGTAGGGGAGACAAATGTATGAACGTGCTTCATTTCACTCAGCTCCACCATTTACACAAATACCATGCACTTCAACAGAGTGCAACATTAAGTAGAAAGGGACGCTGCCGCCGTTTCCAACATCAACTATCCATGCGTCTGTGTGTGCACGTTTTTGCTCTCTCTGGGGAGGTACAAAGGGATGACCTGCTGTGCAGTCAAGCTGACTGTTGGAAACACAGGCAAACTAAACACGTGCCAGAGGAGCTGACATTTCTGCTCTCCAAACACCAATTTAGGCTGGCAGTACGAGACAAACCCAGGCACGTGCCCTCCCCTCCTTCACCAGTGGGTCTGTCGGCAGGCGGTACCACCTGGTCGACTGCTCGGTCTCTTCTCTTTCTGCTTCCACCTCTCTCTGACATGCTGACAGCTGGCTCTGGCTACCATCTCCACGACACAGCCATTCCTGGCCCCCCCGTCTACACTGACAGGCTACAGTAGCAGCAGGACATGACCAGATGGCATTCTGGGAAACTGTACAGCAGTCACCTCTGTATGGGAAACTGTCAAAAGGAATTAGGGGGAAAAAAGAAAAAAGAATCACCTAAATTAAGATTCTATTTTTGCCATTTTGTGGTTTTATTTTAGCAATAACTTGGGTCTAGTTTTAGTTATTTCATATTTGATTGTACCAAGATCATCTTGACTCTGTGTGGGACAGAATTTCAGGTTTTAACTAGAGTTAATTAACCAGTTGTCACTGTGTTTGTTTCCATCGCAACAACTAAATCTTTCTCACATTTTACGTTCTGTTGTGTCAATAAGGCCATTGAAACAGAAATATCTTCTGCCTCTCTCCTCCACCAAACTTTTTTTTTGGTTTCCTCCTGTCTCGGTGTGTATAGCTGTCTGAATCCAAGCTCCCACAGGAGACACTCGTCTTCTCAGATATCATCTGCCCTCCTCTGCTTTTCATGGAGCCCGGAAGGTAAAAACAAAGCTGCATATAAAATAACTTGGTGAAACTCAGCCTGAGTTTCTTCCCAGAAAATAAATAAAAAAAATACATAGACCTGGTAATTGTACCATAGTGAATAAATGCAATACATCTGATGTCTCATATTTCTGTTTCTTAACTTTCCTCATTTGTTAAAAAACAAAGCATTTTGGGAGTTGTTTGATTAAAAAGATAAACTGGCATTACATAACAGAGGAGCAATAACTATAAACCCATTAGGCTCCAGATTATCATCCTGACTAAATTATTATTCTGAATAGTTTATTACCTGTACACTTGCAGGATATTAGAAAGCCTGTTACTTTTATTAACCTGAGATAGAACATGATTTGAGCATTTGGTGTTTTGTTAATAATAAAAAGAAACAACACCAAACCTAAAGGCCTCAAAAGAAACAGTTTATTTTTTAAAGGTCAGATTTGATCCTTCTTGCTCCATTATTTGACATCTAAAAACCTGTATCTAACCTAACTGTGTCAATATTTCAGTTTTTCTGGTGCTTGTAGAAGCTGTTTTAAAGTTATTTTAAAAGAATGTTCTGAACTCTTTTTCCATTCAATGAAAATCTGTTGGTTTTACTCTGAATACTCGTCTCCACCTACTTCAGCCCGCCTGCACTCTTCTTTAGATAGTGGACCCCAGGAACATTCAACTCATTTACGTTCAACACCTCTTCTCTTTCAGCTCCACCTGTCTCCCTGTCATTCACACACAGAATTTATGCTGCTTCTACACACTTTTACTCCTCTCCTGAACATCCCTCCACCTCCCCAGGCTCTCTTCCACCTGTTCCCCACTTTCACTACAGATCAGAAACTCCATAGTGCATGGGGATTCCTGCCTGGTCTTATCAGTCATCTTAATAAAGAATATATGTAGAGGTGAACAAGATTATAAACAGTTCTAATTGTTCCATAGTCTGTAGAGAAACTGAACTTTAATGCTCGTCTTATAGAGAAGTAATACAAACAGCTGCTTGATAAGGACTACAGCTAAATCTTCAGCTCCAAAAGAACAATACTAAATAAAAAAGAAACAGACACCAAGTCCATTTTAATCCACAAGTCATCTGAAAGTTTTTTACTGGATATATTCCTTTAGATGAGTGTGCCAGTGGTCCTTCACTGATTTTCTTTAATCCATTTTCAAGCATCACTCTGCAGCTCTGTCGTCTTGTTCAAATATGGTCTTTCGGGCTCCAGAAGGGCCGAGATTGCAACAGCCAGATGTCATCAGGCTTCAGAATCCACAGTCCACAAACTACAGTGTGATGTCACTGCGGTTCTGTCCATCATTTACATCTTTATAGTTATTTTGTAGGAACTTCAAAACAAACTTGGGTCTTTCTATGGCCCACTTCTACATCATCTATCTGACCCATGTACAGTCTGATGAGCAGTGTACATCCCCAGTAGACCAATCAAGCAAAAGTAAATGCAGAAATCTCTGCTAATCCATGAGTGTGTACAAAGTTTGACATTTTACAGAATAGAGAAGTTCTACTAATTTACATGAGACAATTACAATATAAGGGTACGTTTTCACTTAAATACAAATATGTTGCTTATTTTGCGTTGTTTTTTGTGTTTAAAAAATAAAAATAAATAAAGCAGTATTCTTTTTTTGGGGGGGGGGGGGGGGGGGTCTGGGTTCTGTTTATTGCATTTATGATTCAATGCAATAAAACAAACAAATTGAAAAGGTACAGATCATTGTAAAACTTGGTTTATTTACATAATGACTTTATCCGCTGGATGTCCGACCCCCGAGCTGCTGGCTCTCAGAAGCTGTGGCCCCCTGAGCAGTTCTGTTGAATAGCCCTGATCTATAGGACGTCACACTTTCAACTACAGTAACAGCTCTTTGGAATTCACCTAGTTTCTGCTAAAACACTATTGTATGTGTGAAACTGGTATATTTGGTGTTTATTTTTTATAGATGCAACAAAAGAAAAGTGAACACATTTTGTTGTGGCAGGAAGCTATTCACAAATGGTGCTTTGCCACTGTCTCAGCTCTCATTGGTTCCGCACCAGTTAAGGGCATGCCTACTGCTGGTACCCACTCAGCTCGATTTATGGGACCACCTTGTTTGAGGCTCCATGCGAGCTGCTCGGCAGGGCCGATGTTGACGTACGCAGACTGCAGCCGTTAATGAGCCAGCAGAGCTACATCACTGGATGTCCCGCCCAGCAAAACTGCAAACTACATCTGAAGCACCACTTCCTCGTCGTATTGACCAGCGGCACCACAAGAAACGAGCGCATTGAGCAAACCGAGACATTGGCAATGATGGCACAGCATGGCTACACCTGGACTAATAAACAGTGCCGAGATAAGCTAGCAAATTCAAGTCTGAATATAGGGCGATTAAGGACCTCAACAAGTGGAGTGGTTCAAACACTAAAAGACCAGCTACGATTCCACCCACTTTGCATTGATGATCCCACCCACAGAGCAAGGAAACGGGTCAGCCTCCACTGTAGTGGCAAATCATCTACACCTGAGAAGAACCGAGAAGAGCCGAGTGGAGCCGCACTTACCAACGGCAAAGCAGCAAACGTGCCTAAAAAGATTCCATTTTAAATGTATTTATTTATTTATTTTACCTAGTTGGCTCATGAGTGTTGATACAACTCTAGTCCATATTTTGAGACTTTTGAGATTTTTTCAGCTTGACTGATTTTTAAGCTCGAGTCAAATAGCTTAACTAAAAACATTCCTCTGAATATGGTCAGGTTCTGTGCAGAAAATTAACGAGAAAACAAAAACATCCCAAGTCCAAATGGACTTTAGAAGACCTTCAGGGAGTCCAAAGTACTACTGATCAAGATCAGCTTAAAATATTACAAAAGGTCTGGCTGCTTGGTGGGAAAATATAAAGAAACTAAGAATAATATGATTTGTTTTAAGTGTTATTTTAGCAATAAGAATCATGGAATTTAGATTCGAGTATTTTGGAGTTGATAATTGAAAAATATATTTCCCATGGGGAGCTGTGACACAGATACATGAACATTAGTCTGGTTCTGTCTGACCTCCAGTAGCCGGGTCTTGTCGTACTCTCTGCGGTGCTGGTAGATACACTGGCTGAGAAAGGAGTAGAGTCTCTCCAGCTGCTCCACACTGTAGCCCTCACTCTTTTTCACCACCAAATCCAGAAGAGCCTGTAGGAGAAGATACAAATAAAATGGTTTTGAAGAACAGGTTAAAGCTTTATTCAGTATTAAAACATGTTAGAAATGCACATCATGCATTATAGCTGCCTGTGTGTGGAGTCGATATAGACTCAGACCTATAGAAAATGCAGTTGTGTGTGGTCAAGAGAAGCCCCGTGGCTGCTGTTTGGAGATGCAGCATTTAGAGGTCAGGTATATTCAAAAGCAATTAAGACCAGAGTGACAGCTAATTAAAGCTAATCATAATTAGAACCAAGTTTACATTTCACTGCTACTTTAATTAAAACATTCTGAACAGTCCACGACCCCTTTAATTGACCTGTTCTTCACATTTTACCCAGACCAAAGTCAGGGACTGTTTGTGGATTCATTCAAACGCGGGGCTCATCAGAATGCATTAGCTGCAAAGGCACGATATTTAATGTCATCATCCCTTTCACGAAGCAAACACAGAAATCTCAACAGCAGCTAAACGTGCATGTGTCTGTCTGTGTGTGTGTGTGTGTGTCTGTGTGTGTCAAAGAGAGAGACAGTGACCATGTCTAACACAAAATCAAGGCAATACTGTGATTAATAAGACACGGATGTTTGTCAGAGCCTTTCATCAAAGAACATGTGAGAGGTAATTACAGAGAACAGAGGAAAAATTGCAGAGGCAAAAAGGTTAGCAGTGCATTAATCACAGAACTTCATCTGACAGTGATTTCTGGTTAAGTAACAGCTTGATTAAAGTCAAAATATGAATCAAGAAAAACTCTGCTTCCCTGCTGACTGGAAATTTGCCTTTACAAACTAGTTTTTTTTTTTTCAGGTTTCAGTTTTAATCTTCATATCAAAACCTTATCTGCTGAGTTCCACCATGACTGAGCATCCCAGCTTCTACCAAGAATCTTATGTTGGTGTAGATCCTCCATCGTCCAGGTCATGGAAAACTGAATCAAAAGCAACTGGACGTCTTTTCTCAATCCAAAAAAGAAAAGAGTGCACAGAAGCTCAACATGAAGAATTACCAAACAATAATTTATAAACTTGAAACTTCCCACCTTTCAGCTTTGAATTAAGAATGATGAAATGATAATACTGAGTGATATTTGTGTTTTTATTTTTTTATATTTGCCTTTTTAAACGTTACAAAATTCTCTTGCACTGTAACAACTGAAACAGAAAAGTTACCAGTTTAAATAATAACCAGATTCTTAGCTGCAACCAACCTTGGTAACTCCAAAGGCAAAATATGTTTTTTTTAATTTACTGATGTTTTTTAAATCTTGGTTAAGTCATTCAGTTGTCTGCATACAGTTTGAATATTTTGTATGTTCATCAGAGCAGTGGTTCAAACAATGAGTTCCACCTCAGAAAATACTAAGCTCTCATAAATCACCATTATGACTGCCATAAAAATAATTATTTATATCAAAAATAAACAAAAAAAAGACCATTCTTAACTCTGACTGTGAAACTAAACCTTTTATCATCCTAACCTGAACCCTTCAGCAAACCCAGCTGGGGTTAGAGGCCTGATCTACCTAAACCAAGACCTCCACAGGTGAACGAGTCCAGTGCTAATGGCTCCTAGGGTATACCAAAAACTCTACCAAAAACTACAGTAATGACACCAATCCACTAAATAAACTTAATTTTAAACAACTTTCAAATTTTAACTCCTGAACTAAACCCAACAATTTTCAGTCAGGTCATCTGGACGGTTTCTTTTTTTGCTGAAACGTTTCACCTTCCATCCAGAAGGCTTCATCAGTCAAGGAAACACACAACACAAAACTGATTCTTCCCACAAACAGCTTACTCCAAAGTGGAACAAACCAGTATGTTGGTGCTAAGATGGTGTCTTTGGCACGCCCCCCTCCTCTGATGGCAGCCCTCTTCCTCATCGACAGTCATGTCAAACTGGTTCAAAACCAAAATAGTCTGTGCTCAGTAATCCAGGTATACAATCCAAGGAGGAGGGGGCGTGCCAAACACACCATCTTAGCACCAACATAACTGGCATGTTCCACTTTGGAGTAAGCTGTTTGGGGGAATAATTACTAAAAGAAGGACTATTTTGGTCCTGAACTAAACAAAAAAAGAAGGCTCTCAGTTGCCGTGCTGGCGTACACCTTCATTGTTAACTTCTGCTCCACACGGTTTCTTCCATTAGACTGATTTAAGGAGAGTTATTAAGATGTGAAAAACACAACTAACCCTGCTGAAGGGTGCAGTTTTAGAAATGATGGTTGCTGCATTCAATACTGGATGTTGCACCACATGCTCTGTGGTCTTGGCTCGTGTTCTTCTCCCCAAAAATTGTGTGTATAAGTTGTTGCTAGCAGGTCATAAAGAGACTGACACCATTTAAAATGGTCACTAACACACTGGTTAACCATTGTCCACTACAGTCTCTACAGGGGGTTCTCTAAATATTCTCCACTGCAGTTTTGCTTCAGACAGTTTCCATTGAACCAAGGTTGTTTTTGTTTTTTTTATTTAAACCACTTATCTTTTTGGCCAACTTCGCTGTTTAGTTCAGTTTACAACAAATACATGGATTGTAATTTTTTATTTAACTTGTTGTTCCCCGTCACAGAGCAAAAGGAGGGAAACCCCCTCCATCCGCCCACCCATGCATGTTGTGAGCACAATAACTTGAAAAACCAGTGAGGTACAGACTTCCATTATGGTGGGTGGCAGCATCTAGGTGTAAGAAAGCTTCCTTTCAAAAAATGAGTTGCCACGTCAAAATATTAAATTCATATCCATTTATTATATGAAGGAAATATTTAATGCACAGAGGTAACTTGTGTTCTGTATTTGTAATGAAAAAAACAAGTGTCAAATAAAAACTACAGGGATCATTAGAGCAGCTCTGATAACTAGATCTAAGCTGCATTTAAGATTTTCATTTCATTTCATTTTTATTCTAATTTGATCTGAGATCTACGTTTAAAATACTTTTTGAAGTGGGGGAATAAACGTTTATTCAGATTTGGTCTGTGGGCCTTGAGTTTCACACGCATGCTTTATATGAACTAACAAAACCAACTGGGCTTACAATTAAAAAGAGGTGTGAGAGGAACAACATTTAGACTGAACATATTTGAAACAGAGTAAATATTAACTAAGTAGAGTAAACAAAAATAAGAATATCAAGTAGACAAAAGTGAAACACCTGCTGAATAGATTTAATCTTAAACTTCCCTGAGATGTGTGAGGTGGAGTTTCCTACAGGACCCGTTTTCATCTCAGCTCCAGCTGCTGCAGAACATCAGCTGATGGTAAAATGGATGAACTGTTTATTGATGAGCAGACCACCTTCAGCTGAAAGGGAGACTGCGATGACGTGAAGATCCAACGCAATCTGCTGCCTTACAGAGATAACTTTTATTAATTGGCTTTGATTATGTATGTGAATGTTTTTGTACAAGATCCTGAAACAACTTCTGCTGTGACTTGGAGCTACATAAATAAACTGAATGGAATCACATTTTGATTGAAAGTAATGTCATTCTGCAATGAATAAATCATTACTTTTTTTACTGTACCTGTGTCATGTTCTCCCTCCTCTACAAATTGATTGTTGCTACCTGTGATGACTTCATAACCATTTTCATGCCTGTGTGCTGGTAAGTCTTCTTCATCAGTGATCAGTGTTTAAACTGTGTGCGTTCAACATTTTTGCCACGCAGATCGTGCATTTTACTTATGGTGGTAAATTACTCCAGCCTCCTACTCTGAGCCATTCAAAAAGTTATTGACAAGGCTGCACAAATAATAATAATAATAATGTGTTGTCATCATTGTATGTTCTTATACAATGGCGGAATTGGCTCTCTGCATTTAACCCATCCACCCCCAGGTGGAGCAGTGGACAGCTACTGAAGGTGCCCGGGGAGCAACTGGGGATAGGGACTTTCAGGTCCGAGTCGGCTGCGCTGCCTCTACACCATCTCGGCCCAAACGATTGGAGTGGCTGGACATTAATCTATGGTGGCCAAGGCCACCATTGGCCGCCTGGTAGTGGATAAAATTGCTCCCTCTGCTTGCCATCCGTCACTCTGCGTCACCTCTGACAACTTAAAAATAATATTTTTCAAAATTGTCTCTCCTCTTATACACAGTGTAACTCCTACCCACTTGAAATCGTGGAACTAAAAACATTAATCTTTACATGCATTCCCCGTTCAATCCCAGTCCAGAAAAACACTCGTTTGGAAAACTACAAACATTCACTATTTACAGTAAAACTTTCGTTGATGGGGGACATTGGCGTACTGCTTGTTAATTCTTAAGTTTCTCCTAAGTACCACAGGGATCATGAGTATCATCAGTGGTACTTGTACTACAGTTTGAGAACCAGGATATGAGCAAATTACAGCAGAATTTAAGCACGAGTGCTAAAGAACTAGAAAACCTTTAAATCTTTTTTTTTTAATTCATCACTGGAAACTAGTTTCATTTGAAAAACTTCTTGAGCTTGACTTCCATTTAAAGTTGATCATACCGAGCTCAATATCCTGGAAACATGACAGAGAATATAAAACCTTTCAAACATTCACACTTCCTTAATTTAATCTGGCAGCAGTATTGGATTCTCTGGTGATAAGGCTTTGACATAAAAACCTCCACTTGGCCAATCTAATATCTTCCAAGTCCCTTGACAAATAAAAGTACATACAGGAGCGCTGGTGCACACGCGCACACACACACACACACAACTAAAACTCTGAATTAATCCCAAGTAATGATCACCATCCTGGGTAGGAACATAAAGTGCAGTCAGCCGCTCCATACCGATAATATTTTATCCGTGTCTTTTTTTTTTTTTGTGCTTCAACATCAAGGGACTTCTCGTGCTCCATGATTTTAATGCCACCATGAAAACTTAAAAACGCAGCCAATTGGAGCACATCACAGTGAGGCGCCAATTTAATAGCTAATGAATAAAGGCTTTAATTAGCATCGTTGCAATATGGCCCACATGTATGAAAATG